GTGTTGGTATTAGGCCGAGTATCCCAAAGYGAAACATAAATAAATTACAAACTCTTGGAGAAATTTTTGACACTGATTGTAAACAAACAAACAAGGATCCCATATTAGTATTTTAACTGGATTTATTTTTTATGCATTATTTTATAAATGAGTGTTATCTTTACAAAATTTACATTCTAGAATGTGATCCGTCATTGCACAGATTCTTCAGAGGTAGATTTCACTTTAGGTTATTATTGCTATAAATAACTAATGATGTTTATTCTCATCTTTTTTAATCATTRTGCTGCAATTGGCCTATAATCAAAAACAGCAGTTTCTACTTTGCAGAAAGTCTCTCATGAATATTTTGGTACCGCAGAAGCTCCTTGTCAGAAATGGATGGTCTGAAATTTTCCAGTGCTGAAGAAAAGTCCTCCATGGAGAGAAGGACAGGGGAGTCTTCAGAATCCAGACCTGTGGGAGAGGATGGTTGAAGGTTATACAACCCTTTGCAAACATTATGGAATCACCGGCCTCGGAGGATGTTCATTCGGTTTCATTTTGTAGAAAAAAGCAGATCACAGACATGATACAAAACTAGTCATTTCAATTAGAAACTTTCTGGCTTTAAGAAGCACTAAAAGAAATCTGAAAGAAAAAAATGTGGTAGTCAGTAAGAGTTAATTTTTTAGACCAAGCAGAGGGAAAAAATATGGAATCACTCAATTCTGAAGAAAAAATTATGGAACCACCCTGAATATTTTCATTCCCAAAACTAACACCTGCATTAAGTTAGATCTGCTTGTTAGTCTGCATCTAAAAAGGAGTGATCACAGCTTGGAGAGCTGTTGCACCAAGCGGACTGACATGAATCATGGCTCAAGCACGAGAGATGTCAAGTGAAACAAAGGAGAGGATTAACAAACGGTTAAAAGAGGGTAAATCATCACGCAATGTTGCAAAATGTTGCACTTTGAGTATCCTGGTTAGATAGAAAGGTGCTATTTAAGTACAGTCCATTTGGATTTAGTGCACATAACAACACAAAATTAGTTTAATAATATTGCCTAAAATCCTAGTATTCTTTCAATGAATATGTTGTAATTAATTCTCAGCTACAAAACTACAATAGATTTTACTACAGTTTTTAAATTAACAGAATACAGACATTTTGCTTTATAAAGACATTTTTCTTGGTGACCAACTTGATTTGAGCTGGCTCAAAACGTTAATCCAACACTTGTTTCCTGAAAGATTCCATAAAATCTATTCATTACTTCATGAAATATATTTCAAATAAAAAGTTGACTTTAGATAGCTAAAGCTAAACAAATATCTTGCTTAATTTGTTAGAATGTGCTGTGGATCAGTTTCAGCTACTACAACACAAACTTTAGGTCAATATATGTAAAATGGACTGATAGCTATTTTTTGTGTCCTTTAAGGACAGCTGGCTATGGCAGCCATCTTGAATTAGGTTGACTCCAAAAAAAGAATGAGTTTTTGATGTGTCGATGATCACTTACAGCAAGTACCATTAATATTCAGTGGCTAATGAATGTCAGCAAAAATATGCCCACCTGATTATAATCCTTGCAACTTCAAGCTACTTGTGATAAATGTACATGCTGTCATGCATCAAACAGTTTGTGCAGCTTGTTTCAAGATGTTTTAAAATGATTCGAGACACTGCATCTGATTGTTGGTCTTACTGTAAAGAAAGATTGTCACTGTAGTAGTACACGGTCTCTTAGATCAAACAAAACACCAAATCAAAGATTTCCGCCTTGAGGATATTATTGTAATTGAGGTTTTAAATTGAATTTATGAGTAATTTTTATTCAAAAAATACAGTGTTTTGAACTTGAAATTCCCCTCCTGTCACAACAGGCACATTTTGTAAAGAAGAARCCGTCCAGAGGACCTATACCATTTTTTTCCTTTAGGCACACTTTGTGTTTACCGTCGTTYATGAAACGGATCTTTCTCTTGATGGCGGCCGTCATGGCGTCTGAACAGAGAGCGTACAGGTCAGCGCCGGTCATGTGACTGGGGCAGTGGTTTACTACGTCCTGCAGTTTCACAGCAGGGTCCAACTGGAATCTGGAGAAAAAGTTACACTTTGTTCTTTTTTACAATAAATATAAAAAAACTTCATTTTTTAAATTATTCTCTTAATTTTTTTAACTACATATTTCAGACAAAATAGTTTTGTGCCTCATGAAGATGGTACAGTAGACAATGCATAGATGTATTTTGCATTTGCTTTTCTTTTCTCATCATATTCAGGGGTCAGTTCTCACTTTCTGAGGATGGCCTGGAGAACCTGGAGCTGAGAGACCCGATCCTCATTGATTCCGATGTAGACCAGTTTATCGAACCTGCCAGGACAAAGTCCAGGAGATGTTCAGAAACAAGAAATGTTKCAGTCAGATAAGTAATACAAAATACATTTCCTTCCTGATCCAAACTAAAGATGCAGACTGTGTCAGATGTCAGAGAGGAGTTCTGCAGGGTTTTTATTTTTACTGGTTGAAGTTTTTTGTTAATCTGTTTTTCAGTTGATGTATCAAAATGTTTCCATGGTTTTCTGTTTCTTGGTCATCTTTGTTTTGTTAATTGTTTATCCTGGCATTCACAAACATAAATTGTGTTTTATCGAAGCCCACAGTTATTTTTCCTCAGCTTCTCTGTTTTGCCCATCACAGCTCCGTTTTAATCTGGCTAAAGTCAGATCCTCGTATGTAAACCCTGGCTTGTTTCTGTTTTCAGTCCTGGGTTTTTGTAACCCTAACCTTGCCCGTTGATTTTTGTGTATTTTATAAATGCCTGTGGATTTGTGTTGCTTTGGTCTGTCATGATGAAGAAGTTTCTGATTTGGATGTTTCCTAGATGTCTCTTTGGCTACGCTCACACTGCAGGCAAACGTGACTCATATCTGATTTTTTTACGACAGTCTGAACGAGACAAATCTGATTTTTTCTAATCCGACCCAGGCCGTTTCAGTATGTGGTTTTAAATCAGATATATATBTGATGTTTTCAAAGTGACTGCAGTGTGAACGCTCATGTCACATTCATCTGACTT